ATCTTTGTTGAGGTTGCAAAATAACACATCGATGGCATGGATTCGACCTTGGACCTAGAAGCTTCCGCAACCCAAGCATTCCATTTCTTACTGCGCTTAGCAGCCAACAGCAGCAATAGGCAAGGTTCATTGCCCGGAACCTCTCCGTGCGCAAACATTCTTCCCCGAAGACACCCGCGGCCACGCCAAACCAAGTATTGGTGCATTGACCCCATACCTTTTGGCTGTTGTCAGCTTCCCTTTGCTGGTGGATTGAATCCGTGGTTTGGCGGTTCGGGGCTGGCTTCCCATTTCCCTTTGGTGGTTTCCCTTCTGGTTTCCCTTTAAACTTAAACCAACCAAACACAGCGTAATTACCAACTCAACAAAAAATAACAACAACAACCAAAACGGTCACCCTCAAAAGGCGAAAGCTGGGAACCCCCGATTTTTCGTTTGCTGTTCACTTAGGCGCTTCTACGGATTCCCTATCATCACAATTATGTGTGTGTCTGTGTCAAAATAGGGATTCGGACCCCAAACATGCATGTCGGGTTTCCTGCCAGTACCACAAGGGTCCTTGTAAAATAGATGGTTTTTTGTCTGGTAAACGGATGGCGCAAAACCAATCTAATCCAATGGAACCCATCTACTTCTAAGAAAAGCCAACTTCAGGACCACCTATGGCCACACCCCAAAATCACCTCGGGTTTTTCTTGGTGGTGAATCCACCCTGGCCGGAGCTGAGGCGCTGACCAGTGCTTTGGCCTCGCCACCTCGGCTGCGGGGGGGGGGGCGGGGTGAGGGACCGCTGGTTGGGGCCGCAAATGACAACCCAAAACGGGACAACTCAAAGGCACGGTCGAGTCGCAACCCAGGGCAAGTAAGGGGTATGTTCACTAGGCATCAACCCACATGAGGTCGCTAAATGCTGTTCAGGGCTTCTGGTCCTCAAACAGATTCAAACAGTTAGCCGTCAAAATAGGGGTTTGGACCCAACAAGATAATTGAAGCCGCATCTGCAAAGGGCACTGAGCCTCAAAAACACAGCACTATGAGCAACGGTCAAACTTGTTGTTGGCCTGGAGGATGGGCTCGTTCCTTGGTATTTATTGAATTTAGAGAGTCTGCTATGTCCCACCAAGGGTTCCCTCAACACAGAAGGAAGTTCTGGGACAGATCAAAGGCTGGGTGTCTGCATTCAGATATGGACGAGGAATAGGTTTGTCTCAATTTTAGGGACTCCCAAACATGTGTCTGAAGCTGAGGTGGGAGCCCTTTGGTGACCCCACTTGCATGGGGATGTATGACCACCAAGCAATTAATGTGATTTCTGTCCCCACAAAATCCTGACCTGAGGATGCACATCTTTGTGAGGAAGCACTCCCTGAATCTGAATGCTGGGCAGCAGCCAAAGCTTGCAGTGAAGATCTTCCACGCATTTCACTCTCAGGTTTGTCTGGGCTTGGCCAGTTGACTTGGATCATGCATAACTAAAACGCATACCAAGCCAACTGGCCGAGAAAGCCAGCCTCACTTGAGGCACTGCTTTGTTGCCAATATGTGGGTTCCAGCTTTGCGCCAAACAAATGCAGCATGGGGTTCCTGCAAAAAAAAGAGAAGATCAGTGCTTCCACAGCGCATGCGATGATCATCCTTCATTTCGTGTGTGGGCTTCTTCAAATGCAAAACCTCCACCTCGCTTTCTCTGAGACTGGCAACCAAACTTTCTGAGCTATTTAATGATCTTCAAAAACACTGGACAGCATCACACTAAAAAATGGTCCACTGAGCAAACAAATAACTTCCCAATACCGATACAAAATGGACTGCCCAAAAACGATACACACCTAAAAACGCGATACCCACTTGCACCCCAAAGCCGATATCATCTCTCCAGTTCTGTTTCTCACATATGGGGCTCAGGGCCAACCAAGTAAATCACTAAACCCTATCAGCTTCCACGTTGGAAAAAGGGTACGTATTCTTTTGAGACCCTGCTTGGTTTGCCAGGAAAGAGAAAAACCACCGTTTTGGTAAAAGTCCCCCTCTAGCTGGACAAAACCCACTTCCTGAAGGCACGGATGAAGCCCTCCGAATACCGACACAAACCGCCTACCAACACTGGTGCGAAGTGGCTTGTGTCCATCAACATATGGCCCTTCACATTTCGTTTTTGGCTTCCGAAAACAACCCACATCTCATCCTCCAAATCTTTGTCTGATCCGTCGACGAAAATATGTGTTTGCCAAAAGACGCAGGTCCTTGAAGGGCGTTCTGGGCCCGTTCTCCACCGCACTTCGGTCCTTTCGGTTCGAAGGGCAAACGGAGGCTCATGCTGACTGATGGGTAAGGGACCTGATGCTTATGGTGGGTTACCCCTTCTTAACCCGTGGTATGGTTGCAAAAGAGCTGTCTTTTTTGCAGCCCGCGACTAAAATGGGCAGAACCCAAAAAGCTGAAAACACGCCAACAACAGTACAAAGGAAACCACCCACTGAAGGGGCTACCCAATTTTGAAACCTGCCCAGAACCATCCCCCTCTCCTCTGTCATGAGTAGCGACACATGCACTGGCCACAGCAGCTGAAGAAGATCAGACTGGCGCGGGGTGGAGGAGCATTCCCTAGCCTTGCGGCCCGGCGTACACATAGGTGTCCTCTTAGGGGAAATAGATGGATTTCCCTGGTAGATGATTAAACCACCAGGTAAACCAGGAATCGCCATCTATTTTTCTACCAAAACAACCAAAAAGGACACCTATGGGCGTACATGCTTGAAGTCTACATGAGTACCCTTGGTTCTACATGGGTGTGGCTCAACATTGAACAGGAGGGGTTCCGCAGGTTTTGGTCAATGTTTCCACTTACCAGGGTTCCATTTTGGGTACCGGTTTTTTGAGCCACAGCCACATGGTGTCTCAAAATAGGGGACTCCCTCTTGGATGTCTTCAAACGGAGTCACCAAAAGGAAACCACCTCTAGGGGACCCCAATGTTAAGAAACGCCCTGACTGTGTCGTCCTTCAGGGTACCTTGCGTGTGCCGGGAAGCCGGCGGTCTGCCATGACACCCTGGTGGACGAATTTCATTTGCACCTGGGAAAGAATCCATCAGACTCCATCAGGATGTTTGGCCATGGATATCTGCCCTTGTTTAAGGGTACCTGTGTTGTCTTTGTTGAAGGGAAACAACGGAAGAACAAGAAGGGAACACACCACTTGATGGTTCGATAGGGGAATGAGAAATGGAATGACCCCAAGAAACACCATCCCCTGTGGTTTGCTTTCCGGGAATCCCCTTGCCAGTTCATTCCCAACACCCGGTCTCGCTCATTCCCTATCGCAGCAGCTAGAAGGACAAAGCCATGTGAAAAGTCCACAAGCCCATGAGTTGGGGCCTAGGGTCGACTTCCAGACTGCAAGCAGCTCGGAGCTTTTGACTCTGGCTGGGGAACCCCAGGATTTCCGCACGTGAGCAAGAAACCCTGGTACTTCTCTTGATCGCACGGAGGGAAGTCCAACGTGACCGAAGGCCTGGGGTTTTGTCTGGCGTGAGAAGTGGGAATCGCACTCCTCACAACTCAGGCAACGCGCGCGAAAAATGCATCCGCCTGCTTTTTAACTCGCTTCTGACTCCGATCGCTCGCAATGGATTGCCCAGCTGATCTGCCGCATTCACGGCTGGTCTTGAGACCAAAATTTGCCTTGTGGTAGTACAACTCGAATGGATTTGACATGGGCCAAACAAACTTCCAACAATGAACTTCCACTGCCTGTTGACTTGCATAAACTCACTTGCCGTGTAGATTGATTGACCAACAAAGAGTTTAAAGTGTTGGTTTGTGACTAAAGTGGTCTTCCCAAACAGTTTAAAGTCGACTAACTGGGAAGTGGATTGGAGATTGGCTGATGTGCCGCTGTGTCCCCAGCATTCCACGAGTCCTGTAGTCAACAACTGAGTCAGCCCATCTTGCTGCCACATTTATCATATCAAGAGCACTGGCACAAAATGAAAGGGCTACCACTCCACGAAATCTTCGGAACGGAATCAAACTCAATTTCTGAGCAAACGACAAAATATGTCCAGTGGGCGCAAATCATGATCCCATAGATGGCGGCAATAGACCCCTCAAGTGACTCGTGTAGGGTCTGCGTCCAGCCTCTCACACTCAGCATCTCTCGCAAACAACAAGGGAAACCACCCGCTCATCATTCCCGCAGAAGAAACTCAATGGTGACAGTCCAAAGGACTGAACCAATGGTCATCCCAATCTTTCAAATGGTCCTCTTATGAGCCGAGGCCAAGACTCCTTCTGTCTCATGTGGGTCATGGTCAGAGTTGCCCTAAACGAACGAACGCTTACAACTGTTGTCTAAACTGCCTTGTTGAGGGGTTGATGACCATCCCTACCAACTCCAAGTAAAGGGATCTTTCAACCATTGCGCACATGCACACTGCCTCCCACCAACATAGCAACTGGAAGGGACAATCCTTGTCAATGCCCGGCAATGTGGGAGAGAGGGTGTATGGGTGCGTCTTGAAACAAGCGAACCCCACTTGTCATGGACTTTCCCTCTGGTTCCTCTTCAATTCAACTACCAGCAAAAGTTTCCAAGTGTACCCTGGTCGCGGAAGAGCAGCCAGCCAAGCCCAGGCGAGTGTGGAGAATTCGTTCCGAGGCCAAGCGGCCAGTGCTCGCTTGCTGGGCCAAAACACTTCAACATACTGTAAGCAGTTTCATACCTTTGGGCACCTCTTGGTTCCATACTATGGATGGACAAAATCCTGCACCACTTGGAAACCATGGTTGAAACCATTGTTTGTTGGTCTTTACAGGAGAATCATCCTTCCAGGGTCTCTGAGGTGGTGCAGGATTTCGTCCATCCACAGTATGACGGGACAAAAAACAAAAAACATGCGCATGGGTGAGGCCGTGTGATTTCTGCTTGGCCCACAGGAGCTCTCCATTTCTTGAAAATCAGAAAGATCCGCAAAAAAAACCGCTGAACGGAAATATCAGCTCAGCGGATGTGGCACTTCTGGGGTGAGCTCCAATCTGTGTGGCGGAAGGCGTTGGCCAGGGCATCGAAGAAGTGGGCCCTCGGGTTCGGGTCTCTTGCAACAACCCCCTCAAAAACATGAGGGGGCAAACATGGGGCTGTCTGGACAGAAACAAGACATCCTCCATGCCCTTTTGGTCTCCTTTTGAGGAGATCAAAAATACTTGTCCGGCTAGCACCCAACTTTTAACATCTTGCTCTAGGGGTTGATTCCCCATTCTTTTCAACCATCGTTCTTTTCAATAACCAGCTGTTTTTTCCAGGGTTTTTGGCGGTTTTCTGGAAAGGAGGATCCCTGGAAAGAATGGGGAAGCTACCCCTAGACTTGCCCGAAGAACCTCCTTTCGCTTCCCCCGAAAAGGCCTGGGGTTCGCCGCCTTCACCTTCGCATAGAGGCCTCGGCGCGTGGGCTGCGGAAGCCCGGCTGAGGGACCCGGAGGGGTGGCTCAGCTTCTTTGGGAGTTGGCACCCTTGGGATGGTCTGAAAGGGAGGGGGTCCAACCCCCATTTTAAAAAAGGCGCACCAATATTCATCCCTAACCCCAAGCATGGTGCAATGGTGGGAACGCACAAGAACCCAAACTCCCTCATTTCCCGAATCTGACAACTTCCAGTGGTCTTTGTGAGAAAGAAACACCATGACGACATGTACTTGGGACCATGACGACCTATCAGGCGGAGTCGCTTGCCGGGTTTGCCACTCAGGACTCGGCGGAAGGCTTGGGACCAAAGGCCTTCTTGTTTGCCGGTTTTTCATGGTGAAGTTAAACGGAACCCATTTCCCCAACCAAAAAATATACCTGGGCAACTGCCCTCTCCCGCGGCCATATATGGGAGGGAAAACTTGGGCGGCTCTTTTTTCAAGCTGAAAGCCAAGGGACTTCTCCCAAAAGAAGGGCAAATGAGAAGGAAGCCACTGGGCGTGTCTGTTGGAAAGAATCTGCTAGGTTGGGTTCTTTGGGAACCCCGTGCGTCGAAAAATCGAACCAGTGCAGCGAAAAGCGGCCGTCGAACTTGTCGTTCACCGCGCGTGGCAGTCGAAAGCACATGTCCTCAGCCATTAGAGTCCACTACCCACGTGTTTGTGTGGTCTTTTGGGGTAGGCGGTTTCCATCGCTAAAAAAAACATGTTTTGGCAGCGATGTGTTCGCAGCGAGCACCTCCACGACTTGCTTTGGCTTTGGCTTGCACCCCAGAACCCCGTTCAACTTGGATGTTAAGGTGTGTGCTCCATAGATCATGTGGGCGGCTTGTCTTTTGGAATTGGTACCCGTTGTTTGGTGGCGTTAAAGGGGACCCAAAAGGAGAACCGAAGCCATTTTGTGGGGCTTTTGCTGCGGAACGAAACATTACATTTGAAATATAGGGCCTTTCATTTCTGAGTGGTGCCCGGCACGAAATGACGCAAAGCCACAAAGAGCGGGAGCTGTGAAGGGATTGGAACGGGTGCAACAAACATTTGTTCGCTAAGTTGGTTGGAACCCACACTCGGAAAAGACGATTGCATGATTCAATTTGTTCGCCTCGGCGGGTCTCATGCTAGCTGTGGCAAGGAAGCAAAGGGAAGTCAGATTCAAACCGCGGAAAGGGGAATGTCAAGCGGTTCTTGTAAGGAATGGTCAAGGGGAACGTAAGTTTCAACCGGTTGTGGCAACCAATCAAAGCTGGTTCCCGTTGCAAATTGCGCTCATGTTCTTTGCGGCTTCGAGATTCGCGGAGTCCGCAAAGATAAAACCCAACGAGGGAACCCCCTGAATCCTTCGTATTTTAGGTGGTATCGCCCTGGTCTCGCCTCGAAAATGGGCTGCTGGTAGACAGCCCCCACGTCGTCCAAAGATCTGATCCATTCGAGTCGGCTCTTCTCCTTCGCTTCAGGCTTCAGGAATAATCAGCGCTGGGAACTTGGGGGAAATGGACACCTAACCACTCAACTCACTAAACCCTAAAACCTGAAAAGCTAAGGGAAAGGCAGTGTCAGCTTTCCTGACAAGCCCGTTTCGCGTCACCAAAATGCCTCAAAATCTGGACCTTTTTCGGCCAATCCACTCAGGACCTCAGCACATGGTTTCCTTTTCAAAGCAATTGCTCCAACTCAACACTCGGCGGTTCCCAGCCAGAAGCCTGAAGAACCACAAGTTTGGGTGTGGCCTGAACTGGTGGAAAAATAGAGATTTGGGCCAGTTTTCTTTTAAACCAACCTTTAGACAAAGCACCCTCAACCAAGACACCCCCGCCCTGAAATGGGGAACCTCTTTTCTTGAACCTGCGAAGATCACCGAAAGGAAAACTCAGACTGATTGTAGGAACGGATTTAGATGCTGGAGGTGTTCGGGAGGGGGGGTTCCCGATTTACCAGTGACAAGGGGCTCAATTTCTCAAGCCGCCAATCCAAACCAATTGAGGGCTACCAAGCTCGTGGAAGCCCCGCACTCGTGGAACCCCTGGGCCATAGAATGCCATAGCTTCGAATGCCCAGCACTCAGGAGAGGTTCCCAAGATTGCTGACCAGCCTGGTCTGCCTCAAGTCGGAGGACTCTTCGGCTAAGCTGGGTGGGAGTTTCTAGAAAATGCAAAAAAAATGCGGACCCGTTGGGGCCAGCATCCATGGGTTGGGCCAATCCCCCAACTTTCAACACTAAGCACATATATGGGTGAGTCTGTTTTAGGGGACCTCCCAAGATATGTTGTTTCCTTCTGGTCTCGCTTTAAAACTAACCAACAAAGGGTACCAACTCCAAGAAAGACGAGCCACCCATATAGTTCTTTGAACAACCTCGTTTCGGTTTGGATTTCACCGCCCGTGGATCACCAAAAAGGCCACCCACTGGCCCTCAGATCAAAAGGTCAAGGGACTCGTATTCTCTTCCACGAATCATTTGTGGAGGTCAGCGAAAACATATTCCAACTTTAACGGGAACTCCCCTTCACAGGGGGGCTAAATCATTCGATTTTCAGTGACCTGTTCGTCCGCTGGCCGGCCTGACAAGAATCAGGCCTTGAAAGGACAACCCAAGGTAGTGTTGACCCCGCATGAATACAAATCCGTCCATATTAGGAGGTGTTCCCCTCCAAAAGTGGCCCATGATTCCCCACTAAAAGGGGACACCCCTACGAATCAACCGTTGGTTTAGTCCGAGGTCAAGATTCGGCCCATCTCATTCCGCTAGACCGCCGGAACGGCTCGACGAACTTGCCCCAGTCGTCGCAAAAAAAAAGGCGTGCGTTGGAAAAAACCACCAGTGGACCATTTCACCGCCCCAACAGCCGTGGACAAGCCGACATTTAGAAAAAACAAACAACGGCTAGTCCGCTCCAACAGGCCGTAAAACGCCAACATTTGGATGCGGCTCTTGAAGGGAGACACGCACAGTGGGACGCGTCCCCGTGTCCTGCTGGTACATGGCCCACTCCTGGGCGGCAGCCTCGAAGACATCCCTCAGAATCGTGCGAATCAGCTGCCCAGTGGATTTGTCCACGGGATCCACGAGGGAAGAAAGAGAATCGGCATGCCTTTGGTGGGTTCCGCCTCTTAAGGAATTGGTACCCTTCGGCAAAAAAAAGTGGAGAAAAAAGAGGGAGCACCACTGGGGAACTGGGTGTTTTTGCTGGGCTTGTATAAAGCCCGACCTGTCGTGACTCGCGGGTTTCGCTCACGCAATCCGGTTGCTCGTGGCGGCGAAGATGAAGGGAACATGTGCTTGAGTCACAATCAAAACCTGGTATGAAAATGGTCGATCCAGAACCATGCAAAGAACTAAGAAGGCGGCCGCAGCTACAGTACTTATGGTTGGGATTGTCCCCGACTAGCCTTCGGTTACCCGGGTTTTGATTGTGACACACTTCGACCCCCGGAACGATTCGCCGTGCTTGCTCAAAGGGCCCAAGTAACTCGTCAGGATGGCCCGCCAAACCGAAGAACCGAAGAACTTGGCGACTTGGTTTATCTGTTTTTCCTGTTTTACTCCCCTGCAAGTCAACATGGCACCCAAAAAAGAGCAAAAAAGGAAAACATAGTTTCTCTGCAAATGATGCCTCTTGGTTGCATGTTCATGCTTGGAGGATTGCAGGTCTAAGAAGCAACCACACAAGTCCAGAACCAGCAAGGCAAGTGTTCTATCAGCTTTGTTTCAAAAAAACAAGCAGGTTTTGAAACTTGCCCTGTGGTGATTTAAACACCAAACTTGAACCCATTCGGATCCCTGGTGTGAGGCTGGTCCCCTTTTACCAGCTGTGCAAGGGGACATGCGACGCTGACAACGCCCAAATAACAGGAGGAACGCCTGTTGCAGGGGTCGACCCGGTGTATAGCGGCAAACCTGGCGATGACTTTTTATGGGGTACCGCATCGAAAGGGGTTGGCAATTGCCTACCTAAATGATGACCACTAGCATTCGCATCCACGTAAGTCCTATTAGAATAATCTCAGCGCTAACATAAACCGCGGGACAGTTGGTACAGGGCCATGTTCCTGACCCTGTCCAGCCAGCCGATGGGATTGCCCTTCACATCTCTGCCGTTGGCCGCATTCCGCCTCAGAAACGCGAGGGCCACCCTTCTTTGCGGGAAAGGATGCCAAAATGGAACCAAACAGATCGGTGCATTTCGAGAGTGCCCGTGTTGGGCTTGCCTTCCCAGCTGTTGGATGAGGTTCGATGTTGTAAAAACCCACTTGAAAGCATTCCTACTTTTCCGAGAGCCGGTGAGAAACGTGCAGGTCTGGGTTTGAGTGGCTTTGTGCCAACACATCTTCTCCAGTGAGGCTTGGGATGGCACGGTGGATGCTGCATGCCAAAGTGTGTTGCGATTTCTCGGTTTCGGCTGTAGAATCACGCAGAGTGAAAAGCTCACGCAGCAGCAAAACCACCAAAAAAAAGCCGGCGGCACGAACGGGTAGGGATGGTTCGAAGTTGTAATATAATGGGAAGCTGAAGTGAAACCACGGGAAACAAAAGGAACCCCTTTCGTGCAAATCCAAAGCGTGAAGCCAACCTTTTGTGGGTTCCCACATTTACAGAAAGCGAAATTGAAGGCTTCATAAGACGGACCATTTCCGGCCGCACTTCAGCTCAGAGTCTACGGTCGAAATTTGCTCAAGCCGGGACAAGCACTGGCAACATTCGCAACAGCCTTGGACATAAATGTTCACCTATTTTTGATACTTCCAGGGGGTATTGTGGATGGGATTTCCTGCCAAAGCACATGCGTGTTGTATAATTACGTAGTTTATACTGTAGTTTTGATTGCTGGAAAAAGGCTTTCAATTTGGAGGTGTGATCTGGGTGTCAAATTCGACATCTTGACGAATCGACTTATCAAGCGAGGCAAGAGGTCCAGCTTCTTCCCAGGCCAGGATTCGAAGGGTGGAGTCCACAACAGGGCATCATCTTAGTCCACCTGAACGGTTTCGTTGGCCCTTGCAATGACCAAACCCACTCTTCTACCCATTAATCAAAGCTTTGTGAGGGTTGACAACACGGAAATCCTGCGATACCTACTAATACCTACTGCTTGATTCCCAGCAAAGGGCGATGCTCCAACCAAGGGACCCCCCCGAAAAATGCCACCCGAAATTCGTTCAAGGCCCAAAAAGGTAATGCTTCAACTGGCTCGTGCCTGGAAACCTCTTGTCTGCACATTTGCTTGTTTTGTGGTCACATAGATCACCCATTCCTGCTGTGTGATCCGCCCCAAGCCAGTCAAACCTCCGGAGATCGAGCTCCCTGCGACAAATGGCTGTGGCTCAAAAAACCGGCACCAAAATGGGTTGAAAAAACAACCCCTTGGACAACCCTTGTATCCTTATGCCCTAGTATCAGTCAGTATCGCTTTTTCCTCTGCATCGGTTTGCAGAGTTTTGGCAGCTCCTGGTGGAAAGTCGCAACTTTTCAGTACAAGTGTAGTACGAAAGTACATTTTGGCAGCTCCAGCTGGAAAGTCGCAACTTTTCAGTAGTATGCGTAGTAGACTTTGGCAGCTCCGGCTCGAAAATCGCAGCTTTTCAGTGCAAGTAAGTTTTTCAGTACACATGTGGTACACAAAGTTCATTTTGGCAGCTCCAGGGAAGGCTGCAGGGCAGCTGGTTGGATTCGGCGTGGCGGCCACTGAGTTGGGTATCGGTTGGGTATCGGTTTGGGTATCGGTTTGGGCCCTGCAAATTTATGATTCCGCGATCTTGGCTTGCGACGACAACTTGGACCTGATGTGTCTTCATGGCTTCTGGGGGTATCGGTTTTTCTTCCTCTGTATCGGTTTGCAATGGTTTTGGCCTGCAAAGCAAGTTAAGGGACGGCCCCTTACATAACGAAAAGGCGCGGGGTATTTTTTTCAGCCCAAATGGAACCCTGGTAAGTGGAAACATGGACCAGAACCTGTAACTCCTCCTGTTTTTACTTTTGAGCCACATCCAAATTTCTCTCGAAGGAACGCGATCGCGTTCATGGCATCCCGAAAGCTGTTGATGCCGCGGTCGATGTCCGGGGCTCTCGACATCTCTTCTGCGAAAGGGCGCGGGGCGGGCGGCTCACGGAAAATCGCCGCAGAGTCGTGCAATTCAGGTGCAATTCGTTTCGGGGGAGGGGGGGGGTATAAACTAGGTCCTCCAGTACAGAGGCTAGAATAAGGGTACCCTATTTTTTCTGTTGTCTATTTTAGTAGGGGAACCCTCCCCCAAAAAGGGTGAAAGGGCACTACTGGGGGACCTAGTAAACCTCCTAACTGGATAGTATCGTCTTTCATGTAGAAAGCTGCAGGATGGAGCTTGGTTTGGTGGAGAGGCCTGGCTCAAATGTTGAGTTGACCAGCTGTTTCGGGACCCCGGCGCTCAGGCAAGACAACAAGCAAATGCTTAAGCAGCTTGAAAGTTTGCTTTTGTACAGGTTAGGACAGGCCTACAAACCTTTTGACTCGAGTTGTGGTTCGCAGTGCTGGAGAGGGCTATGAAACCAGCTGGGATTCACAAACAGAACTCTACTGAACACAGCGTGTTCTGCGAGTGAATTTGGACAGCTAACTGTTCCCTGTTACATAACATGCTTCCCAAAGGGAAGCAATACACAGTTTGAATTGGCTATAATACTAACTTAATTGTAAACCAGATAACTTCCCGCCGTCGACCCCAACTGCAGTCGAATTGAGGGGCTTTCCGAAACAATTAGATATTGAGTTGCAAATGTCCGTCATAAATATTAAATGACATGTGTCTTCCAGTGTGCAGCTTTAAACTTTGAATTGAATTGATCGTGAATCGCGATAGCAAAGTGGTTGATTCCTCCATCAGGTAGCCCATCCCAGTGCTTCCAGTTACCATAGGCAAGCAGGGAAACTCAGCAGAGGCAACACCTAGAGGTTAAATATACTAGTTGCCTACCAAATGGAAGCACTGTGCATTGCTAGCTTGGTGAGATTCAAGCCCTTGATGCGGGAAGCTCACTTCCGATCGAGTGGATGGCCAAGCAAAAGTCCAAACTTGTTGTTTGCCAAAATGGTCCAAACACAAAAAGTGACTAAAGTCCCAAAGGGAACCCAGGGAGTAAGCCCAGCACTCAAGCTGTTAGTGGGGCCCTTACCGTTAGTCTTTCCACGGTCCAACTGACTGGGTTCGAAAAGCTTGCCCTCACCTCATAGATGTGGCCCCCTTCACACATATACGGGGGTGTCTCAAGTTGGGGGAACCTCAGCACATGGGTTCCCTTTTGGCTCCCCTTTTGAACAAACCCCGAAAGGGTACCGAGCCTCAAACCAAGTCAAACCAACGGGAAGTCCCGCGCATCGCCTCGCAGCGCGTGACACCCAAAGAGGTCCATGCACTTGTTGGCTGCCTGGTCCCAAGAGTCGAGGCTTGCCGTGTTCTCGTAGTAGTAGTAGGTCTCACGGTCTCACAAGAACGCGAACTTCGAGCCCCTATGACTGATCTTGCCAAGTACCCGCCCACGTCTTAAAATCCGGGGGGTGGGGGGAGGGGGGAAGCATTCTTGCATGAGCATGAATGGCTTACAGGAAGACATCCACTGGTCAAGCAACCGAAATACCCTCTGTGCTTCTTCGACATTTTGTTTGAGGCTCGGTACCCTCACCTTGCCTTTTTTTCAGGGAAGCCAGAAGGAAAGCCGCCAAACGTATTGGGCCAAAATATATCCTAGGAACCCTGTTTGGGTCGTGTGCTACCCTGCCACTTGGCCCTGCGTGGAAGCCACAAGAAGCAAAGAAGGGAGGGAGGGAGGGAGGGAGGGAGGGAGGGAGGGAGGGAGGGAGGGAGGGAGGGAGGGAGGAGCTGATGACCTGTGATCCTTCCTGGAAATACACACCGTCCTTGGGTTCAAGTTGTTTTGGGCACCCATGGAAACCGTGGATAAATGGGGTAAACTTTTGCACCCATATCATGACCTATGGTTTAGTCCGAAGGGCCGTATCCTATGGCAACTCCGGCCTTGGATCACCCACATTAGGGGGTCGGTCGGTAATATTTTTTTGTTTAAACCCCCTCAACCAACTTATTCACAATCAAAACCTACGAACAACGTCTGCCCAACAAAAACAAATAAAAACACGTCAAACAGGTCTAAGCTGTTGAAAAGCTCTACTCAAACTTGGTTAAAACGTAAAAACGAGAAGAAAAAACAAGGTCCACGGCGGATACTTTCGCCTTTAGTCCCGTCGCCGCTTTGGGTCTCAAATTTGCGGGCGCCGAAGGCACGGCATCGCGGGCCCACTGCCAGGTGGACGAGAACCAGTCCGCCGGCTTCGGCTTCTCACACCTGAGATCAGGAATCTTGGTGTCTGATTCGATTTCCCCAAGGCAAATACCAGAGGAATTCGTTTTCGAACAGCATCAGCCGTGCGGAAGAAGGCAAATACCAGGCAACAGCGAAGTTTGAACCATGGAGTTGTTTCCTGGTCCGCCCAAAGCCGTGGTTGAGAAAAACATAACTCTTGGTATCTACAGGAGAATCAGATCAGAAACGGTTCCTTCGGTGGTGCGAAATGGATTTCGCAACCATCCACAGTATGACACACAAATATGTGGATGCACCGAAAACACACACACACACACCGCCTATGTGTCTTAAGGACAGACTCACCAAGATGCAACCATCGGCACACAACCAACCAACAAACAAGCAAGCAAGCAAGCAAGCAAGCAAAGCAAAGCAAAGCAAAGCAAAGCAAAGCAAAGCAAAGCAAAGCAAAGCAAAGCAAAGCAAAGCAAGCAAGCGAACAAGCAAGCGAGCGAGCGAGCGAGCGAGCAAACAAGCAAGCAAACAAACAAACAAACAAACACACAAGCAAGCAAGCAAGCAAGCAAGCAAGCAAACAAATAAACAAGCACACAAACAAATGCACTTGATAATGGGTATTTGTGGGTTGATTTAAAGGGAAACCACAAAGGACATCAACCATTTTGGGGGTTCCCTTGATTTGGAACAAACCCTTATACTAAAAGCCCTAGTAAAATCCAGGCGAACCAGTAGCTCATCCCAGACTTTTCAGATAGGGGTTCATCGATCTTGTCCATCCGAATTGCAAGTAAACCAACCACACTCGGAAATTTAATAGGGCAGTGGATGTCCCTGTGCGTGTTTCTCAAAAATAGGGACCCGTCCCTTCAAATGCCTCATGTCCTTTTGGTTTCCTCTAAAATTCCACAAGGCGACCCTCCAGCTCCGGAGTTTCAACGTGCTCTATTCATCCCTTTGGCATATTGGGTATATTTTTGAGGGTACTGTACCCCTTGTGGGAATATGCTTCCTTTGGAAAACGAAAAGCACACCCAGCACTTTGGGGGTCCTCCTCTTCCTTGGGCTCAGATGGTTCCTTCTGCATCGGCACATCTCGTTGTGCAGCATGATGGCGTGCATCACGTTTCTGCAAGCATGGCCTCGGATTCAGATCGAAGCGGGGAAAGAGGAACGAGAAAAAGCCGCCGCCGAGTCTCAGTTGTGACTTTGGAAAAAAAGGGAACCCTTTTTGGGGCTTGGACCATTTTTAGTGGGGGCAGCCGGGCAGCCATCCAAAAAAGGGAAAAAGGGTGCCACTGAACAACTGAGGAGTTGGAGATTGTGATTTCGGCCCAAAGGAAACTGAGAAAGCTGAATGGAATCCTATTGTCTTGAGATTTGGCTGCGGGTCATAAATGTGTGCCCAAAATCCATCCCTGGTAAATTGCCAACCAAAGAAATCTGGACCAAATCCAATTCTCTGGAGACTCGATTGCAAACCTGACGGCTACAATGGGAATCACGATTCAAAATATGCGAAGCTTCTTCCCTAGCCTCTTGTGTCATTGCTTCAGGGAAAGCCCTTGAAACCACACCTGGTAGTTTTAGCAACTAGGTCCTCCAGATTTGAGAGGTTAGAATAAGGGTACCCGATTTTTTGCTGTTGTCTATTTCAGTAGGGGAACCCTCCCACAAAAAAGGGGCAAAAGGGCACTACTGGGGCACCTAGGTAAGATCCCTCAGTTCATTCCCGAACCCTTCCAATTTCCTTCTGAGAAGCACTCGCCGTGGATGTCTGCGGGAAAAGAGCAACCTATTTGAACTGATTTTGAAGGGAAGCCGTTGAACACCGAAATAATGTTGGGTAGCAATTAATACATGGGGAGTAATTAATACGCATGTTTTCCGAAAATGATTCCCCTCGCCTGAAAAGCAATAAATGCAAAGGAAATACAAAAAAAAAAAAATATGGGACAAATAATTCAGGTGGATAAGACACAGTTTCTGGGGCTGGCAACGTCTGACGTTGTTGCATCCAACCTACTCCCCAAACCCCGGCACCAACCGTGCCATGTACCACTAACCACCACCAGCAGCAGCAGAGTATTGCTTGAAATGCTACCCAAAAGAGCTGACATGACTGAGGTCCCACTGCCCAGCAAAATGTTCAGAGGGTGGTACCGGGAACACCGACGAAGATACTAGTATGGGTTGTCCAAGGGTAGGGAATATAGAAAAAGCGTCGCAGAATAATGATAAACCAGTACTAAGCCAATAGTAAACCAATACTGAACCAATTCTAAACCAATTCGAAAAAGTACTGGGCCAGCTCAAAGCAATAATACTACAATACTAAACCAATTCTACACAGTACTGAGCCAGCACACAAGAATACAAAACTAATTCTACTCCAATACTGTGCTGGAAGACTACTTGGGCAGGCCCCAGTCTGACCTCATTTTGGTTGTAGTTTTTCCTGTTTTCGGGGGTGGGGGCCCCTTTGATGATCACTCCCCACATTACAGGGAAGCTGTTCAGTCGCCCAGTGGATTGAATCCAAACACAATCAAAGCAGGGAAAGGTGGAATCCTCTCCAACTGAGAACACAAGTCCGCTTCGATCGTCCCAGTGTCCCATGTCCATTGTGGCCGCATGCTTTCCCGACTCACAGAAGATGCCCCGGTCGCCGCCACCACCCAGGTGCAGCTTCCTGGGAAGCACTGCATAGGAAACAAAAATCAAATCCCACCTAACAGGGATCCTTACAGTAAATACACCTGAACATTGCAACTTGTAAATGGTGGTTTCCCTTTATATTGGTGGACAAAACCATGTTTCAAACGGGCAAAATGTATCTTTTAAGGAGCCCTGCCTAAGTTATAACGGCCCCCGATCAACAAAATAATCAGCTTACCCGACGCGGGTTAAACCCAGGCGATCGGAAGGTTCCAGTAAGCTTCAGGGAGATTCGGGAAAGGCGCTGAGTAGGCGCTTCATGTAAAAAAAAAGGTATTGCTTCTTCAAAACAAGCACGGGCAATAGATCCACGGTCGTGCAACACTCAAGGAGGCTCCAGGGAGGTGTCGCGGCAGTTGGGATTGAATAGGCTTATGTCAATAGCCTTCAACGCCAAAGCAAGGGGGAGCCGCGGCAGCCTAAAAGTGAAACAGTATAGAATTAGGGCCCATCAAGGCCCAACGCGAGTCCCCTATGGCTTGCAAATTGCAAGGACTGACATGATACGCTCATTGAAACCTCTTTCGACTGACATGATAAGCTCATTGAAACCTCTTTCAAATGCCTGACCCCATCAAGAGCGCACTTTGATGTCGCACGCTGCGCATGCTGACCAACTTCCTCCCACAACTTCCGGCTCCAGGTTTGGAGGATAGATCAGAGAATTGCAGGGCGTGCTGTATAGAATGAGACCCCAGGAATGGCGGTAAGCCTCCAAAACGGAAATGTATTTGGGTGTGTGTCAAAATAGAGTGACCCTTTAAACCAACCATAAGAATGAAAAGGAAACACGCATTTGGGACCGGGTCGGGTTCCCTCGACCCCCCAGTAACCCCCTAAGCCGTCCTAAGAATAGTATCCTTCAACTAAGGCACCTATCAATATGGGTGTGTCTTTTTAGAACCCCTAAAATGGTGGATTTTCCTTTCAGTTTCCCTTTAAAGCCGCCCATTTTCAGGGCACTGAGCCCCTTAACAAAAGACAGAGCCATATCCTCTCAAAGGGAGGTGGGAGGCAACTCAGCGGGTCCCAGTGGCACGCCGGCCAGAGCGTTGCAGACGCTCCGCTGCGCTCGGCCTTCATCCTGGACAAAATCCAAAACAAGTCGAGACATCACTGGGCTCTCCTCAGATCCCCCGCTAAAAGTGACTAACTTTGAGTGGCGAAATAAAAATCCCCACTAAACACCAAACAGCTAAAAAGCTAAAAGGCTAAGGGGATGGCTGGGAGCCACCAAGATCAAGATATGTTTCATGGACAGGCGGACCCTTGATCAATCGACTTGCCCCGAATGGCCAGCCATTCTGAGCCCCGTTCCCATGATTTTTCCCGCGGCCAAAAGCGCAATGAATCCCAGGCAAGCCACAGTAGGTAAACAGCCATGTTGTTCTGTTGGTTTTTAGTTGGGTCGGTTCCCTTGATTACCTACTTGACAGAAAACTAAGAATGGGAATCACTCGCAAGACTGAACCGTGGAACCATTGAACAGGGATCCTTACATTATACACCTGAACATTGCCTTGTCAATGGTGGTGTCCCTTTATTTTGGTGGAAGAAGCCATGCTTCAAATGGGCAACATGTATCTTTTACTGAGCCCTGTTGAACGTGCCAGACTCCCACACAAAAAGCCATCGACGCCTGGGCAAAGTCGGGGTTCACCAAGATGTTGCCATCTGGGTCGATCTCTGCGTGACAGACACGGGCCTGGCCCAAGGCCAGAAACTAATCCATTAATTTTAGCCCCCTTAAAACCAACAAAGGCGCCGGAATTCGACGCGAAAAATATTGGGTCTCCGGAAGGATGCGCCAAATCCGTATCGAAGTCCTTTCGAGAAGTGCAAAGGAAGCCCAAAAACCGCCACGTCAAGACTGCCTGTGGGTCTTCAAAAAGGCCGCGAATGGGGTCCAAGACTATTTTCTACTTACTACCGGTCTGACCACGCCACAAATGAGCTGTCTCAATGTCATTGCATCAGATTGCCCTGATGCCGCCTTGCAAAGGTTGCAAAGTTGGTCAACGCGCGAGTTCCCAGGAAATGGACCCCCGTTTGACAATGGTCACTGAGCACAATTTGCACTGACCCATGTTCTCAGAGATGCAAGATCATGTGTCTTTTGCCCGCAGGCATCCCGCACTTCCAATGTTTTCAAAATACCAAGTGTAACAACTCCTTTCACTATGTGAAGCAATTTTGTGCGGGACCCGCTTCATATATGCAAAAACCTCTTGGAAGGATGCCGCGGAAATACCGATTTGCGGGCAGTAATTATTTGCGGGCAGTAATTTCTTCTAAGGTGTCTTCAAGGGAAACCAAAGTAAAGTGAGTTCCTCAAATTTGCATATTCCGGCGCACCCGTATTCGACTTCTCCTCGCGGAGTGAAATCACGATTTCTTCTCAAAGGGCACACCTCAAGGCCTGTGTCCTGTTCAGTGGTCCTTGTTTTAACATCATTCGCCAAAACGGGGTTCCCAGTTTTGACGCATGCACCTAGCTTGGTTCGAACGACTCGGGACGCCGAGCTTCTAGTGGATTTTTCACCAATTTGTTTCGCCCGCCAACATGACTTGCTGGTGTAGCGACCCCTCTGCAAACAGTTGTTCACCTTCTAGGGGAATGGAAAAGTAGAGCTGTTTCAACCAAAAGCTGAAAGTCCAAAGACCCAATCAATTTCCATAAGGATGAACCCACCAGAAAGTCGGTAGGGAAAAATGATTTTGAAGCCCCAGGCTCCGTGGCGCTTTGCGGGAGGGTTAGACCAAACTTAGCTATGGTTTTGATTGCTCACATGGCCCTACTGTGCTCTTGATCCGCCTTTGTCCAAAAAAGGAGTCTCTTGAAAGAAATGTCTTTCGCACGCCTTCTCCAAGATGTAGCACAGGCCTAAGGCGTGCTGATTGCCTCAGAATATTCAGATTCAGTCCATTCACTGGGCCGGTTGCAAAATGGCGCCGCAGGTTTGGGGCCCGTGACAATTCGGAAGATGTCCAACATCCGTCTTGGAACATGTCGCACATGCTCATGTGAGTGTACCCTCCAATCTACTCAGCTGTCGGTTTTGGCTCATCGACACCCGGCAAAAGGTGAGTCGAAAATTCAACCTGGTACTGAAGGAGTGTACCGTGAAGCTCACTTTAAACAAAAAAAAACTAAAGCGCGGATACTCTCACCTATGGATGGAGAAGCTGCTTCGCACCAGTTGGAATGGATGGAACAAACAACTGCAGTAAACCGCCGACCAACCGGTGCAGCATTTCGTCCATCCGCAGTATCTCTGGCTCGGAAAAACTACAGTTGCGACGCCTGATGGAGCCAGGTGGGCTAACGATGCCAGGTGCGGAGACACAACTTAATGGCACCGCTGCGCTCAGTGCTTCGTAGTCCCTCTGCCACAACGTTCTCTGGTATGTCTAAAGTGATTTCATTGGGCAACAACGCTCTCTGGTATGTCTGACGTATTTTCATTGGGGAACTGCGCACTTTGGGGCCCACCTTCAAAAGCTCCTCTTAATTGTGGGTGTTTCACTTTGCTCACGCTTCATCATTCAACTAGGGCAGAAGGGAACTAGCCCATAGAAGATTAGATTCGAATGAGGGAGCCATCCAGCTTCAGCAACCAGCGTGGCGTAGCCGGCGCCAGCTGCAAGCTTTGGCTCAGTGCACATCTGGGTCTGTAGAATTTGCATCTCTTGTCCAGCAGCGTCGAAATCCATTTGGGCCTACAACTCTCAGCTTCATACTTGTTCTCGGTCATCCTATGCTCCCGCGCTCGCGGCCGGTCCGCAGCACTGTCGCTCTGCGCCAAAGTCTGGAATGTGGCGAAGCAAACCAGCGAACCCCATCGACCCAAACACTATCCAGCGAGTGAGATTGGACCAGCCTGAAAGTAGATGGCGCAATTCCCTTCTAGGTCCTCCAGTAGAGAGGCTAAAATAACCCGTTTTTCTGCAGTCTATTTTAGTAGGGGAACCCTCCCCCAACAAAGGGTGAAAGGGCACTACTGGGGGACCTAGCCTTTGTCTGGATTTCGGCATGACTGAACCAAAATTGCTTAGGAGTTGCGCCATCCCGCGGTGACTGAGAACAACAAACGCGGCTCAGCTGCAGTTCCCGCGCTGGAAGTAGTGGTTTGCGTCCGCACCGCCGTTGCCTGCGTGGATTGGTGGAGAGGTGTTCCGGAGGTGTCCCATGTACTCTCAAGAACCAGGGGTTCAAATCCAAACCCAAACCACCACTTAAGGGATACCTCATAATAAGATAGATACAACATAATAAGTATGTTAGTTATACCGGGAATATCTGAACTTAATGCCCTTTTCGTGTTTCTCCCCTTTTGCCTGACGTGGGTTGAACACCCAAGTAAGAGAGTGACCCAGGAGGGGGCCGCCATTTGGGAAAACCGCGCGCGTGTCATGCGCAAGCAAAGACGCCTGGTTCTTGCTTCGCTGCTCAAGGTTGGCACAGACAGTGACAGCAAATTCGCTTCGTCCGGTCGGGAAGCGGTCAGACCCCTTCCCCGACCTGCAGCTCCACCCCCCCCCCACCCTCCCCCCACCATGCAGCTCTTTGCACCCGGGAACCCCGCTTGTCAAGGGGCCCACAGCAGTCCTGTTTCCAGCTCTAGTTCCATCTGGAGCCTTGCCCCAAAGCCCCAAAGCCCCAAAGCCCCAAAGCCCCAAAGCCCCAAAGCCCCAAAGCCCCAAAGCGCCAAAGCCCCAAAGCCCCAAAGCCCCAAAGCCTCTTGAGGCTCCCTATGCACCTTGGAAACCTCTGAGGGTCCAAACTCAACATGAAGACGAGGCACTCGAGTGCATCAGTCAAGCCATCTCTCCAGTATCTCAAAAAGAGCACAAAGCCCATTCACGATTATGTCTAAGATGGCTAATGATCAATGCACTGGGTTGCATAATTGCGAGTGATGCCAACGCTGTTTGTGCAGGGTCATGACTTAATCTGGTTTTGTAACTCCCACAATCACAATCCTTCTTGTCTAGCTCCTGACATTGTACAGGTTCTACAGCCTTCACAATAATCTTTCAGAATCCGGTTTGTTCAACCTACTGGGTGCATTGCGCGACCAAAGGCGGTTTTCCGTGTGGCGTCCATGTAAACCAACCCATAAACCGACACACAATGCTGTCACCCGACACTCGTGGTTGGGCGCTTGGCAGCTACAAAGAAGCCCGAGTGGATTGAAGTGAGTGGCTCTTCAAGCATCTATAGGTAACGCTTCGCCATTTTCCACTTGATTCTTGGTGGCGTTCACTTTTGGGAGTATGATATTGTCGGAACAGTTGGAATATCTCAAAATAGGATTTTGACCCCCCAAAGGGCGGCTTCCTTTTGTTCTTCGTGTAAACCAACAATTGATGCTCCAAGCAAGCTGATTGTGATTAGGTGACACTGCGTGCCAGACAGATCACTCCGTCCTACGGTTAAGGGATGAAGGAAGCCCTTTTTGGGCAGTTAATTTCCCTCCCGGGTAGCATTGAAGCTCCCAGGACTCCTTAAGAAGACCTTCCTCTTAGAACCAAAAGAAGCTTTCATGGAATCACCTTTGTCGGACCGTCTGACCGACCTGAAAACCCGCGCCTGTGAAGAGTCGATTGATCAGATTCATCCTTGCAAGATTCCCATCAAAAAAAGTGATTCGCCCTTTGCTCTTGGCTTAAACATTTCACCTGGAGACTCCCAAACTGCTTGAACTGAGAGGAACATGCACCCAAAAAGGTCTAGCTTGGACTTCTGTTGGCAAACATCCGCCAAAATGAAAACACGACTGCAAAGGAAATATATGAAGAACAAGAAAGGCAACAATGAAAACTGTCAGGCTGCGGACGGCATTTCGTGGCGCGGCTTGTCCAAAAAAGGGACGGCATTTCCGTGGTGAGTTGGTGCCGTGGTTTGAAATAAGCCATGGGAAAAAAGCCACGTGTCTTTTTCGAAAATAAACAAACAAAAAACAAAAAAACACAAGGGGGTCCCAGGTTTCTTTGTTTGAGTACCACTTCTTCTTCCAGCAGGTGTTTTTTTCAGGGAGCCTGAAACGGGGAAAAAACACCCTTTGGGGGAATCTCCACCCATACCAGGAAAACAAACAAGAAAATTCTAGGGGTACCTTCCCCATTCTTTCCGGGGATCCTTCTGTTCAGGAAACCCTCAAACACCCAGGGAAACAGCCGGTTCTGAAAAGAACCATGGTTGAAAATAATGGAAATGGAATCAACCTCTCGAAAAATTCCACGGGAAAACTGAAATCGCAACAACAAAAACAAAAAAACGGTTTCGGGGGGAATCTCCACACACCAGGGAAAACAAACCAGAAGATCCGCGGGAAAAGTGACATCGGCCGGGCATCTGCTTGTGAAGGCACTCGCCGAAGCACTTCTTGAGGCCCTTGGTCTGATTCGCCCCGCTGCTCAGCGTCGGCGTCGACAGACTCGGAGCTTCGCGTTCGGGGCCAACAGGTGGCGGGGGAAAAAACCGAGTCTTACAGAGAAACAAGTGTGTGACACACTGAAAAAGGTCTTAAGAAAACAGCCCCTTCCAAATGGAAACCAACAGGAGGCTGCTTCAACTATGTGGAGAGAAACAACCTGTAGCGGATTGGCCGGAGCAGCCCGGCGGGTCATCTAGGCTGGACTGACCCGAGCTTCTTTGTGGAACCTCTTCAGGGTATTCAAGCAGGGAGCTCCCCCACCACGGGTCGGCGCCAGTTGGTCTCACGAAAGAAAAAAACTCAACAACAAAAAACGTCCCGGGGGGCCCAGTCCCTTGCAGCGGAAAATATACGCATGGACGCCTTTTTCTTCGGTGATGTTTTGGTCCACCCACAGTATCTGGTTGCTCGAGACTTAAACCCTTGCCGCGCGCCGACTCCGCGCGCCCTTGGCGCGGCCAGGGCGCGTGAAGCCCGAGGACTCGTTGAAGACCGCGCCCACGGAGTTCACCTGCACCGCCAAGGGAGGTACCTGGTCGATGGTCACCCGGCCCAGCACCTGGCGAACTGGCCAAAGCGCAAATGGGGGTCAAATGGGTGGGTCAAAACTAAACTATATAGTCATCCGCAGGTTTGAGTCCTTTCCATTTACCAGGGCAAGCCGTTTTGGGATGTTTGACCCACAGCCAAATGGGACTTTTGCAAGGCATGTGGGATGAAATGGCCATGGGTCAAAAGCCAAATCGTACCCCCAGTGAACATCCCAATCCCCACTAAGATAGGTTCTAAAATGGGTGGTGAATTCACCTACCCCAAAGTGGGATCCCAAAACGGTTTTGACCCACAGCCTAATGGGTTGCCCCTCCCACTGGCTTGGCATTTGTGGGAGGGCACCTGGAAGATCATGCTTTTCTTCAAGGGGCCCTCTGTCAGGCGCCGTGTTAGTTGGAGAAAATTAGCTTGTCAACCTCGGGGTTGTGGGAACTAAGTGGAAAAAAAACCAAACAATTTTTTGGGAAACGCCCATTTTCAAACAACCAGTATATCAGTACATCAACTGGAACTTGGGAACCTTACGGGTGAGTACCAGGCTGGAACTCTATCTTGATTTGGGAGATGACTAAACTTGGATGATTTGCGGAGGGAAAAGAAAGTGCTGCTGCGGGTCGTTGAGGGCCGAAGTGAACCATCGAACTGGTAGCTCCGAAGATCTCTGGTTCCCGAGGTGAGGAGCACCGCGCTGAAAAAAAAGACGACGCCTCGTCAAAACTCCCCACCTTTAAAGTGACCCTGGGCTTGAGGTCAGGCTACCGAAATTGTGTTTCCCCATCTTACAAGGTGTCCTCTTCTTTCTTCCTAACACGAACCTGGTCAGCGGATCTAAACTAGCCTTACGGTCCAAGACGAAAAAGGGCTGCCCGCAAACGAAAGACACGCGCGCATATCGCATCTTGTTGACGGTGCCCCTTCCAAAGGATACCCTCCCCTTTGCAGATTGTTGAACGCGAACATACGGCCAATGTTGAATAAACACACATATATATATATATATATATACATCCACCGACCCCTTGTCCCAAGGGTGTGGCACACGGGAAGGGTGGTGACATCATTATCTGAATCATTATCTCATGATCATCATCTCATGATGCGCATCTTGTTTAGCAGCATCAAGGTGACAAACGATATTAAATATTGGATCCTGAGCTATTGTGACATAACCAACAACAGCTTCGGAGCAGTTCCAAGCAATGCAGTAAAAAAACAAACATGTGCTTTGATTGGATTGACCTTTGGATGCTCGTCCCACTACTACTAAAGCCAGAAAGACGTCCATAGTTGATATTGATATTTTATGTTGCTTTCGGATGTCGCACTAGAGAGTGTGGCTAAGAAGATATTATGTAAAGGATTCGGATGTCACGTTACTAAGCCTTCCAATGTTGGGGGAAAGATAGGATTCGGATGTCGCGTCAGAGACTTGCCAGGCTAGATTCTTGTGTACGGATTCGGATGTGACGTTAGCGACTTGCAGTGCTAGAGACTTTGTATATACGGATTCGGATGATATTGACGTTTTATGTCGGATTCGGATGTCACGTTAGAGAGTGTGGCTGTATTTAGGATTCGGATGTCACGTTGTCCTTATATACAGCTTTGGGGGAATGCAGGGGATGCTCGATGATAGTTAACTGTGCTAGTCATAATCCTCAGCTTATCATCATCAGCATCATGGTCATCATCATCTCATTGCGTTAGACTGGCCGGTGCGCGGAGCGTGAAAATATATAAAAACCCACCCGAGCCCCGCAAATTACTTGTTGGTGGACCTCCCATGTCCTCCAAAACCTAGCAGACCACCATGTCTTTCGTGGTTGGAGTCCCAACACCGAGTTCTTTTTACTTCCCGTAAGAAACACCAAACGACGGCAAACTCAAGAAAGACACAACAACACAATTGGTGGATTCCTTGATGGGCCAAGGGAGTGTCGTAAACTGCTACATCAGACAAAACAAAACAAACAGTAATTTTCAATTTTCCTGTACCGAGATTCTATGGGAAATACCCTGCTGGCTGCCCAAACAGCTCGCTCCCGAAATATTGCGGGCAGGTAAGGGGAACAAGGGAACCCACTAAATTACCAAAATAACTTTACCACGGTCTTGTCAGCCATGTGTGTGTGTGTGTGTCTCAAAATTGTCTGTGGTTCGCCTTTGAAGCCACCCAAACAAATGGCACAAAAAGGCAGACCCACCTCTGAGCCTGCGTTGCGGCAACAGCGACTCGTGCCTTCCCGGTGCACTTGACGCAGTCATTGCCCAGAATCCTCGGTGCTGTGGTGATCGGTTGGGACGCCATTGGAGTAGGAAGGCTTCGGGGTGCATGAGAAGGACAAACCCCTTGCAGTTTGAAGTCTTACCAGTGGGGGGGATCTGAAAATAGAGGTCGGCCCCCAAAAATGGACTCCCCGGACTTTTCAGGGGGTTGCCCTTCAAATCCCAGCCAAGGAGTCCAGGCGCGGCCGTTGAAGGCTTCGCATGGACTTGTTGCGCCGTTAAAACATTTAGCTTCCCTCGCAACCCAGGGGTCAGGATAAACTTGAAACTTGAAACAACAATTGCAACAAACCCTGCATTGATGTGTATGCAAGACCAAAAGCAAGTGATCCGTAGCAGGGAACTGGTCAAACGGGAATCAGTCGGGATGGGGAACCATTGAGTGGGAAAAGGTTCGCAAGGGGCGCCTAGGGCAGGTTACAGCATTCGTAGATCCCGCACGAGAGTGCAATTCCCCCCCACCCTGCTTCATAAGGCTCAGGTGGTTTCACCAGTGGTTGAGGAACCCTTTCAACGGAGTCGGGAGAATGTCCGGCAGCGACGGCACCGGCACTCGAATAAATATGTTTCGTCGAAATACACTACCTAAGTCCCCTGGCAAAACAAAGCAATGCAGCATATTATTGAAGCCAACAGAGGAAACATAACAAATAATCTTATACGCAAATGGAAGACTAGGACTTGAAGCCAAGTCCTGGACTTGGCTCCCTCCCTAATCGAAATAACCCTTGGTTCCTGTGGCCCCGCAACACCTCCAACCAACCAAACCACCAATCGAGGGAGCTGGCTTGCAAAGCACCAAACAAAAACATCGAGTTGGACAAATTCGTCCAAGCCAACTTCGGCCTGGAAGGTCCCACAATGTCCCACATGAACCTTGGGGGCATTTTCCCCAGTTGCAGGGATTCCTTCCAGAAAAAACACAGGGAAACAGCCTCAAGAACGACCACTGGTTGAACCTTTCGCCCAGCCCACTGTCAGGCAGCATTTCCCAGCCCAAACGATTGCACCATTTCTATAAGCTGCCATGGATGAAACGATCATCTGAAACGACGCAGTACTTTCACCCCGCGTCATTCCTCATCCCCTTCCTCCTCTTCTCCTTCGCAGTGATCGGCATGAATGTCCTCGCAGCCATCGCACACCCACTCGCCGCATTTGTCGCAAAACCGGGCATGACGGCCACAACAGGAGTGCCAGCTGTCTGAGTTCGAGCAGAAGCAACGATCGGTCTTGCCTTCCGCAAAGCATTCGAAGCAGTGATCCTTGCTGAAGTCTGGGCACTTTTCGCAGGGCACCTCTTCCTTGCTTGGCCCAGCTTCCTGGCACTTCTCGCACCAGAATCCGTCACAGCTCTCGCAGTGAAGGGCGTTGTCATCAACGGGGACCCAGCTTTGGCACGTGTTGCAGTCTCGCACGTCACCCTTCGCCACCATCTTGGCCCATCTACAAAGCCGTCCGCAGTACTGCTTGCCGGTCTCAGTGGTTTCCCGCTCAGGCCAGGGAATCTTTTTGCCATCCATTTCCAAAGGCTCCTCTCAGTTGCCCCCCTTGACCCAGAAACCAAAGGTGCATCTTGTGCCTTACAAATGGGAACTCAACACAGGAAACCCAAAGGCCAAAGCGATTCGCTTTGGGCATGTGAGTCCTTCACCTCGGCCTTGCAGCACTCCTCCCAGGGCTTCAGCGGCACTATCTCGTTCCGCGACTTCGGCGATACCATCTCCTGGACGCCAACCTCGTTGCCCTTGAGATAGGGCACCACCAGTTTCAAGCACATGTGAAGCGCCATCACCGTCCTTTTAGACAAAGCTACGTTGGGCAGACGCTTCGAGGTCAAGGACACATACCGTGGACGAAATCCTGCACCACCCAAGAAACGCTGGGATGCCGATTCCCATGTAAATACGAACAATGGTTTCCCATGGTTTCAAAAGTGGTGGAGGATTTCGTCCCTCCGCAGTAGGGGTCGGTTTGCAAGCAACACACATGAAAAACTGTCCCTTTGGATCCGGGAACTCAAACCGCGTGTGATCTTGCCAAAATCAAAAAACGACGACATAGGGGGGTGTCACGAAATGGGGGAAGCCCCCCCCAACCAAAAAAAAAGGTGTCCCTTTGGCTTCCCCAAACAAGCAAAGCTCCCCAACAAACAAACGCACAAGAAGAGCTTCCTTGAAAACTCAAGCTACCTTAGGGCTGAGGTGTTTTGTTGTTGCGTAACCCTGGCATTAGCCTAACCCTGGCACAGCCTGGCGTGCACGAAAGGAGACACTAAAGGACCAAGATTTGGGGTGGGTTTAGGTAGGTTTGGGGTAGTCCTTTTAGGGTAGGACGAGGCCCGGCATCGTTTTCAACATCCTCAGCATCGTTTTCAACATCCTCAGCATCACCAGACTTTTGTTTGGGCTGGGTTTAGGGTAGGTTCCAGGTTGGCTCAGGGTTGGCTCCGGGTGGGTTTCAGGCCTATTAAGGGCAAATTTGGGGGTGGCTGTGCTTGAGGTAGATGGTTTAGTGCTGGTTCATGGTGGGGCTTCTTGGGGCTGGTTTCGGGTAGGTTTAGGGCTGGTTTAGGGTGGGTTTAGAATTGGCCTTGGCCGTGGTTGTGTTTAAGTGGGCTTAGGGTGGTTTAAGGTGGGTGGGTGCCACCTACCTTAAACGCACCAACCAACCAACCAACCAACCACCTGCCAGGGAAAGTCCTGTGCCAGGGCTATGCAAAAAAAAAACACCCCTCCCCTACCTTAGCCACCAACAAAAACAAATCAGCTCCCCCCAGTTCCAAGGCAGACCTGTGGCCAAGCCGCTCTGAGTCTGAGAAGATGTGGTGAGTCTGCGGCAAGATGTCTTCGGGCGCCGTGACGGGTTGCTTATCACCCCCGAACCTTCGCGACTCGCGAAAGCAGCGGCGCAAACCTGGCAACCATAAAAATTCGGGGGAGCACCATCTTTCCAGAGCCAAGCAAAAGACATGGATAACCTGGAATCCACGGAGAGGCGAAAATTTGGGGACTCTCAAATCCGCCAATGAATCCCTCGATGGCTCCAGCAGTCGGGATCCCACATGACCAAGAAGGGGCACATTGAGGAAACCCTTGACTTGACACTAGCTTGAATCTTTCACCTCTGACTGTTGAACAAATGCTTGTTTGCCAACACACTATTAAAAAAAAACAAACTGTTTGCACAACACGATTGCCATCGTGGATTTAGTTCTCACTGTAGAAGGTAAACGGGGAAATTACTAGGTTTTACAAGGTTTTCATCTCTCCCTAAGGGAATGAGCCTTACCACACCTCGTTTCCTAGGGGGATCCCCACCGTTTCACTCCCAACCTCTTTTGGCCCCCCCAAATTGGAGCCGACAAAGTAACTTGCGGGTTCAACCCAAGGGTAAGTAGGTTAAGTTGCAACCTTGCCTTGAAGGGGATGGACTATAACCACAGTGAGTCTAGGTGAAACGCAACGTGAGGGGAGTGGACTGGTTACTTGGATGTTCCAAGCAGTCAAGGATTTCCTTGCAGGAAAGCATGAAGTCCAGCGCAGGGAGTGAATGGCTGTTCAAAATACAGTAAGGAGTTTGTTGCGGCCCATGTTAGTTTGCAGGAGAATGATTAGCAGGTGGCAAGCGCTTGTCATGTTTGCACCTGTTGACTGTCATCAAAGGTCGTCAACATCTCATGCTCGCATCAGTCAATCCAAGAACATCAGGTCCTCCAAATTACCCTTAATGTGTGATACAACAAAAAGGGCTTCCCAAAGACTAAGCCCTTACATAAAGGAATATCTTCCCACATGTGTCAGAGAAGTGGGGGATAAGCCCGTTGATCCCACAACTCTGACATCGACTAACCGGACCGAGGCGCAGCCCCTTGAAGGCCTGGATCATCCAGTTGATCGCCGCCACCACGTACCCGATCACTGTCCACAGGAAGCTTTTCAGCGGCCCGACCACGGCCATAAGATCCTGATGAAAAACGGATCCGGCGAACGCGTCAAAATTGGTGACACGTGCGGTTGTGGCATCAAACTCGCAAATTGGTGGATGTGTTAAAACAAAAGGGGGATCCAATGGTGGGCTTTCCTTTTCGTGTTTTTAAACCAACCTGGCCTGGTTGAAGGGGCACCCTCAGAAAAGCAAACCGACACGCACACACAGCAAACAAACAAGCAAGCAAGCAAGCAAGCGAACAAACAAACAAACAACCAGACAAACAAACAGACAAACAAACAAACAAGCAAACAAACAAACAACCAGACAAACAAACAACCAGACAAACAAACAAACAAACAAACAAACAAACAAACAAAAAAAAAAACAAACAAACTAACTAACAAAACGAACGAACACACATGACTCTTTCCGGGGCCGTGGCATGCGTCTGCAACGACAAAGTGTACAAACAAATGTGCATAGAGAAGCGCGAAGCTTATTCAGAAAGGGGCTGCCCTTTAAAACCCGAATTTTTGCGCCGCTGACAGTAGCTGGGTTCTTGCAAAAAGCGCGCGACCGGGTGAGAGTAGATGGCACAAGTCCGAATGGATACGTAACAGGGAGGACTAGGCCAGAAATGCGGGATATGTGCGATCCACTTCCACTCCCTGCACGAACCCTTGCCACAGGGGTTCCCCTATTTTAGAAACACTTCCAGTCGCTCCCAGGCTTGACAGCGTTGCGCGGCCGTCTCGCGCAACCACAAAGTTGAGCCCCTCAAATACGACGCGCCCAACTACTGGTATGTCTAGAAAGCCGGAAGCCGGCGCCTGAACCTCCAGCAAAGTTTCGTGGAACAGTTGAATAATTTGTCCGGAAACTCGGCCATTCCCCTCCCTTAGTTTGTTTTTGGGTTACACATCACCAGCTACGTGGCGCCCAGAAAAGGTGTCATGAGACAAGTAGCCATGCGCCACGGCGCCTGAAAACCCAGACAACTGCCAGGCGATCAGGGGGGGGCGGGGGAGGAATGGGATGTATGCCAACCAACGCCCTAAACGCAGCTGCTCAGGGGCGGCGCGGGACCGA